TCTGTGCCATCCGTGTTCAACGACGTACCTGTAATTAGTTTTGCAGTACCGGATCACCGATGGTTAAAGTTAGAGTTTCTAGACTTTTTATTACAATCATATGGGAATGTTTAAAACTTTTTCTTTACAGCAAACCCTCAAACATACATTGTGAGTGGATTATCATTATAGGTACTGTCATATTAATTTAATCTTTTGGAGATCTGCGATATAACCTGCACATAGTGTTAGAAAATAAGCTGAAGTGTTCTAGACGTAAGTTATGGGGTGAGTCGGAGCGACATCCAAAGATTTAAAAAGTGGACAGAAACCTGATTTTCTTAATTTTTAAACGATTTGTTGTTTAATTTTTGGCTTTTTCATAAGAATTAAGAAGACATTTTTCAGGGCTGTATATGACATCTTGTGCAAAATTATCAAAACAGTAGAGATTTGCTCAACGAGGCCCTTCTGCGAAGGTTCCCAATTTTTTCTTGGGTTCATTTTTTTTAAACTGGTTCAAATTGTTTCTTTTGATCCTTACATGTGTTTAGATGAAATAATTTTGATTTTTTGTTCAAAATCATCTTTTATTTATGGGATGCAACTGACAGTTATGTTCCATGCATATTTATTAGCATTTTTCAGGTTTTTTTCCAATTGAATCAAACTCAGCTGTTATCGAAACAATCATATCAATTTTGTCATAACTTCGATTTCAGTTGATGTATGATCTTTAAGAAACATGTTGAAAACGTTCTGAATTTTAAGACAAGAAAATCAATTGAAGTAAAAAAATGAACAAAGTTAGAAATTAACTTTTCGATGAAAAACTTACTTTGTTTAGGTTTCTTCAATGATTTTTTTTCTGTTTTTGTTTTTATAAATGATAAAAAAATAACAAACTGCAAGAAGGAATGTTGGTTTTTGTTTTGGGAACGTTAAAGTCCTAGAAGAATAAAACTTGGAGTTCAGCCTTTGATCGAGTTTTCTAATTTAATCTGAAAACTCAAACATCTTCAGACCAAATTGTCTGAAAAATGAGAAAAACATTCTAAAATTTGAATAGTTCTTCAGAAACTGAGTTCGGAGTTTTGATAATTCGTCACATTCGACGCTCAATGAGTTTTTAGAGTTAGTGGAATTAGGAAAAAAGTTCACCCTGCGCCCTTGTTCTTTACGACCCCATTTGAAGCTGCTTCAAGTTGCCTTGATTCGAACTGGTTGGTTCTAGTGTAAGCTTCTCTGCTAGTGATGTTCATAAAAGATATTCGTATGATAAATCCGATTGAAGGAACTATAGTGCAGTCTGGATTTCAAAAGTCACTCGATTTTAATGACCACAAGAAAAGCTAGTTGTGGGGAGCTTCTGTATGTTATAACAATTACAGTCCACTGATCGTAGTTTGCATTTCAAAAAATAAACAAAATTGAGACAGCGTCAAAAATTTTTATCTAACTAGGCCAATTCATAGGAAAAAGCCATTAACTTTGTGGAGATTCTTCTTTTTTATGTCAATTTTTACCACATGTTTCTCTTTTTATAATCCGTCAAAAAGAACAAATATTAGCGGGCTTAAATGCTTAGCTAGAGTATATAATTAAAATTGTTTTCAACTGATTTGATTTTTTTCATTTTGATCTGATTTTTATTTGAAATGATAACTATAGTTTCTACAACCTGTGCTGCTTTCACTGTGATTAGTGAATCTGAAATTAAGAATGGAAGTACGTTTTCTTAAATCTGGTCTATTTTTTTTTCGAGGTTATATGAATTGGAAAAAGTTAAACTGTTCTCCAAACTGCAGATACAATTTCATCTTGCTGAATAAAATTTTAAAATGGCTTACGTTTACTAAAATATGGACTGATTGTTAGGAAAAAAAATTTTTTATCACTCCCAGTATACATTTTTTTTACTTTAGAAATTTTAGGATCAATCATACAATCTCCCCCCATAAGTGATCTACCGTAAAATGTCCTCCACAAGCATGAGTTTATTAATTTTGAAAACTATTTATGTATAAAAAAAAGCACTTCGAACAAAAAGCACAAAAAAATTGATTTTCACAATGTTTGTTCGGGATTGCATTTGAATGTGGTTGACGACTGTTATATAAATTACCAGTTTATTCAGTAAATATTTTGTGTTGCTTTGGCACCATCGGTACTGGCCAAGTCCTTGGTGCAGTTTAATTAGTACCTGCCAGTGGTGGTTACGTACTCTTGTGATCTAAATCAGTTGCTCAACCTTTGAATCTAAAGTTCAGTTATTCTATACAGTGAAATTTACGGTATCGAATTCTGCGTTTTTCACATGGCGCAGCAAGCAGGACAAGGCGCGGGAGCAGAAAAAAAACCACTTGGAATTACGGCGTTATGGCCTAGTAAATGCACGGAAGCACCGATGCTGTGGGAGCATTGGATTACTCGCTTTACCTAGGGAGTAATAGCAAAACATTCATTCAATCCGACAGCATTATATTTCGATCGGACGTTAAACGCAACGCAAATTGCGGCTCTACCGGAGGAAGTGAATGAGAAAAACCTTTTGGAAGCGGAACAGACTCTAATTTCTAATCTCTACCTGTGTTTGGGGAAACGAGGACAGAACGAATTACACAATCGGAAACCCCATTTGGATCTGGCGGCGACACGATATCCTCGAGTGTTGGATGAATTTGAAAGTGTTTTCAAGAAGTAGAGAAATGAAACCTTCGAGACGTATAAATTACTATCTAGGAAACAACGTGAAGGGGAAACGTTGGAAAAATTTCATTCAGTATGGAGTGGATTAGCTGCTAGATGTGCGTTAGGAGCGCTAGAGCGACGCATTTTGCGTGACGTATTTATAGTCAACATGTCAAATAAAGAGGCACAAACGGAACTCTGTCGTTCAACTAAAACCCCAGACGAGGTCTACCGAATTGCTTTGTCATACGAGCGGAGGGACAAATACGCCAAAACGTATAAGGTCACTGGAGGTGGTCTTACGGCGGCACCAGCGGGGGCGTTGCAGATAAAAACGGAGCCGATAATTGCCATCAGAGGCGGACGTGGCTTCGGCAGAGGAGGCAATCAACGAGCAGAGGAGGCAATCAACGTTTCAACGAGTGGGACGTGGATTCGGCAGAGGAGTCAATCGTGGTCGCGGAGGAGCGGATCGCAAGTGTTTCAACTGTGATCATAGTGGTTTTACTCCGGAACATATTGCAAAGTCTCCAGCGAGAAATTCTGCGTGCAATTTTTGCCGAAAAACCGGGCATGTGCCGCGGACATAGATCGGCAAATAGGGGACGCGTGGGAATGATAAATGAAGACGGCACCGACGGTGGACTCATTCAAGATGATCCAGAGGAGAGCGCGTCCAAGAAAGAGGAAGAATAGAAAGTCGCGGGGGCAAAGCTGGCCTTACGGATAAACGGTCAGGCAACTCAAGCCTGGATTGATAGTAGCTCGCCGACATCTATCTTTACCATAGGGGAATTGAGACGTACCTTGGGGGAATGTAATGTTCTTCTGCAGCAGTTGGATCCAAAAGATGATCAGTTTCGAGATTACGGGATCAATCCGCTGAAGTTTCTGGGGAAAATGCTGGTTACACTACAATCCAACGAATGGACAACCACTGCGTCTATCAATGTCATCGGAGGCTGCAGACCATCTATTATTGGCCTTGATGCCTGAACTGGGATTGATGTTGGTCCAAGCTCCATCGGAGCAGGGAGTGCACAATATACAGCCAGTTGGAAGCGCTGTAGA